ACATTTACGCATGTTTTTAAAATCGATGTTTACGCATGTATGTATATATATATATATATATATATATATATATATATATATATATATATATGTATATATATATATATATATGTATATATGTATATGTATATATATATGTATATATATATATATATATGTATATATATATTTATATATACTTTTGCATGGTAGTCACAAAGGTTTTCCCATAAACTGTTGTTTTAAACTTTCTAGTCATTATAATTGCGGTTTTTAAAAAAAATTTTGAAAAAACAATTAAATTTAATATATATATATACATATATATATATATATATATATATACATATATATATATATATATATATATATATATATATATATATATATATATATATATGTATATATATATATATATATATATATATATATATATATATATATATATATATATATATATATATATATATATATGTATATATGTATATGTATATATATATGTATATATATATATATATATATATATATATATATATATATATATATATATGTATATATGTATATGTATATATATATATATATATATATATATATATATATATATATATGTATATATGTATATGTATATATATATATGTATATATATATATATATATATATATATATATATATATAAATATATATATATATATATATATATGTATATATGTATATGTATATATATATATATATGTATATATGTATATGTATATATATATGTATATATATATATATATATATATATATTTATATATACTTTTGCATGGTAGTCACAAAGTTTTTCCCATAAACTGTTGTTTTAAAGAGTGCGTTAATAAGCCTGACCAGAAAATGTTAAAAAACTTCATCAAAAATATTTTTCTTTAATGGTAGACTACCTGCCCAAACCAAACCCTCAGTCGATGTAGCAGCACTCCCTTGCGAGTCAGGCTATTTGTCAGTCGATGTAGCAGCACTCCCTTGCAAGTCAGGTTATTTGCCAGTTGATGTATCAGCATTCCCTTGCAAATTAGGCTGTTTGTCAGTCGATGTAACAGCACTCCGTTGCAAGTCAGGCTATAAGGTAGTTGATGTAGCAACACTCCCTTGTAGCAGCAGGCCATAAGATAGTCAATGTAGCAACACTTACGCATGTTTTAAAAATGTTTTTTAATAAATCAAAAACAAAAACACCACTAATTAAAAATAACATTCTAGTCATTATTATTGCGGTTTTTTTAAAAAACAATGAAGTTTAATGTACTTCCACATTAATTTAATTGCTTTGACATTTCGATGATAATAAAATGCAGCTTAAGAATTTATACATATAATTTATATATATATGTATATACACACATATATATATATATATATATATATATATATATATATATATATATATATATATACATATATACTTTTGTATACATGAGTTTCATCTTTATAGTTTATATGTTATATATTATTACAATATTTATTTTAAATTGTCATTAACATTTTCAATGTTTCTTATACATTGTTTCTTTTTAGGTGAAACAGTTATCATTAATTGGTGGTAAAAATCTAGTTGATACAATTAAAAATATTTTGCTCTTGTAAGTAATTAGCAAAAGTTTGAATTTTAACATTTATGATTGACAGCACAGCATTTATCTTCTTTTTTATGTAGACTGCCAACAGACACAATTTTGTCAGGATACAGCATGAATTGTCTAAAGAAGAAAAAAAAGTTTAAAGAGTTGACAATTCTATGTAACCCTGTCACTGGAATTCTTATTAGCTTATTAATGTGTTTTATTAATTAAAAATCAAAAATGATGTTTTAATTGAAAAAAAAAAAAAAATTTAATTTCTTTTGCTTTGGAACATGACATGTATTTAAGTGTATGAATACATGACATGTGTATTTTATTTTATGATCTTATTGAAACATGTTTTATTGCTTTTTTTAGAAGCTGCTTTTAAGTCAAATAAAAACTTAACTAAAATGAATGCCATCCAACTTATTGGGAGGGTAAGTAGGCATTCTTCTGACCGAATAAAGAGAACATCCACTAATATGGATTTCGATCAATGATGGCTTAATTAACTGTTGTATTTATTTTTTTTTTTCAATTTTTATAAGCAATTTTCTTCTATTTATATTGCACTATCGATTATATTCTACAGTACCTATTAGTTTTTAATTTGGAAAATGTAACTTTGTTTGAAAAATTATTCTTATTTTTTGTAAAGTTTTTAATTTATTTTAAATATATCAAACTACACTTTATTTACATTGATTTCTTTTAATAACTTCTCTTGCCTAGATTAAGGCAAATCTAAGCTGTGTGTTGTAAATCATTGCATTTTTATATAACTTTTAAAAGAATGTCTTGGTAAAATTCAAACGTCTCTAGGACGTCTGAAAAAGACGTCCTTAAGTCTTTCATATGAGACCAGCCAGAGACGTCTCTAGAACGTCTGCATAAAACGTCTTTAGGACGTCTTAAAAAGACGTTTTTAGGACGTCTCAAATAGACGTCCTCAAGCCTTTCATTTAAGACTAACTAAGGATGTCTTACGGACGAGACTTAAGACGACTTACGGACGTCCTTAGGACGTCAAAATGCCCGCTGGGATAATTTTTCTACTTATTTCTTAGGTAATTAAGACGTCTAATGTAGGTCTTAGCGACGTTAATAGGACGTCTAAATATGGAAGTCCTAATATCGTCTTTATATTAACGTCACAAGGACGTCCTAATAAAGACATCTTTACCGGACGTCTTTAGGACGTCCTTATTTGGTCGAGACGTCGCGACCTAGTTAAGACGTCCGTAAGACGTTTGATTGACGTCTGTGCCCGCTGGGAAATAATTTAACTAAACTTTATTACTCTTTATCCACAGTTATATAAGTTATGGAGTTATTGCCTGGGGTAGCACTGATCAAAGCAAGTTACAATATCTCTACCACATGCGATCTGTTTAATTAATTCTGCGGATCGGTTCGCACATTCCTCAATATTTTTTAATCAAATGAAAAATCTATATAAATATAAACTAAACGTATATAAAAAATTATCTTTTGTCTATATGTGGAAGCATGATTTATCTCCTTTAATTTTTAAAGATCTTTTTATTTTGAAACCATTAAGCAAGTTTAACATGAGGAATAATAATAATTTAAATGAACCATTCTGTCGAACAAAGTTCAATCAATTTTGTATCACTTATCGTGCAGCTCATCTCTGGAACAAATTTATTTTACCTAACTTCAACTTACCCCTAACTTATCTTGTGTTTAAAAATAAATTAAAAGACCATAATCTTTCTATTGAAAATATCTTAAAATATTTTTAATTTATCTTGTGATAAAAAACAAAATAATAATAAACTTTATTGTCATGGTTGTTCAAGTTTTGTTTTATAATTGTTTACAATTATAAAATATTTTCATTTATGTAAATACGATTTATTATATTATATAATTGTTTACAATTATAAAATATTTTCATTTATGTAAATACGATTTATTGTTTTTATATGATTTTTTACGTACTTTTATTGTAAAAAGGCGTTTTATAATATGTTACGTACTCTCTTTTGTAAAAGGCTTCTGACGATAAGATCATTGTGATCTTCTTTTAGAAGTCTTGCTTGTGTTTGGAAAATATGTAATTTATATATATATATATATATATATATTACGTCAAATGTAAACAAACAAAAAAAACAAAAAAAAAACAAACGTTTGTAACAAAAATAACCCAAATATATTAAATGAACATCATGGTTTAATAAAATGATCTGTTCTGATCGTTTATTGGCAATTTTTCTTAATTATATGCTCTTTAATTGTAGGAATTCTAGTCTTTTTTGTGAAAATTGATAGAAAATTTTGTGTTTTGACAACTATATCTAGTTAATATACGTTAGAACCAATTAGAATTAGGATCTATAGTGGGTTAAGGCACTTTTTAAAAAGATTTTAACTAAATTCATGTTAACGCCGATGAGCAAAAGTGATCTAAAGATTTCAAAATGGTGCTCTTTAGATTAACTATTAGGGGTAGTAAAAAAGTCTTGAAAATTATATATATAAAAAAATAGTTTCTTTTAGTATTAAAAAAAAAACCTGAAGCAAAAAAAATCATAACATCTAAAGCACTTATTTGGATATAATACGCTGACAAAATCAGCTTATATTAAATAAAAGAATTCGAATAATTTGTAAATCGCTTTAACTACATCGAGTAATGATTTAACAAAACAAAAAATGTTGTTGCTATGGCCGTTGCTAATGACGCTTTTTTATACCAACCAACAAACTATCCAAAAAAGATTAATTTTCAAAATGAAAGTGAATGAGTTAGATAAAATCAGCTTTACCATAGTTAAAATGGATTATTGAAGCATTATTTCATTAAAAAATCTAAAAATTAGTTTTTTCTTAAAAAAAACTTTTTTTTTATGTGGTTATCCACCTTAACCCCAAAAAATTTAGTAAAAAAATATTTATTAATGATATCTTAGTAGCATAACTTGGGGATGATTTAACCTAGCAGTTTTTTTAAATAAATATATAGTCAATCAAAGTTCTTCCCCTTTTTTAGACCAAAAAAAAAGTGACGCAAAAACTGACGCGCGTCAAACAACATAAATGGGTATTCGAGCTCTACTTTACGGTACTATTTACCGGTTCGTCAGTTAAAAACAAACAGTTTGGCGTACCAATAAAAAAAAAATTGTTCAATGCAAAAAGCGGTTGTCAATCTCGAACTTTGTTTAACTTCTGTCACTTTCTTTAAACTGTTTTTAAAATTTTTTCAGTCGTATAAAAAAATCTAATCTGAAACTACTTTGTTTATACTTTGGAATATACTTTGCTAATTTGAATATACTTTGCTTGTAGATTGACATCTAATTATACCATTGTTTTTTTTAATAACATATACTATATGTTATTAAAAAAAACAATGGCATAATTTGATATCAATCTACAAGCAAAGCATTTTCAAATTAGTAAAGTATGTTTAAATATATATTTCTTTTTTATTTATATGTTATAGACATATAAATAAAAAAGAAATATAAATTTGTACGTAAAGTACAAATTATAGAAACAAGTTGAATAACAGCAATCTTGAGTAAATTAAAATACAAGGCAATTATAAATACTAGATCATGTAGACATATACATTCTATATGAAAGAGCATCCATATAATATATCTTTTTATTATACATACTTTATAGAAAATGAAAAAAAAAAATATTTCTAAAACAAAACCTACAACTTTATTATCAGAGTATTCATACAAGGAATCAGCATTGAATTTAGCTCCCAATATATTTTCAATAGTTGGCTTGTTAGTGGCGTTTTATATAGGCTATTGGTATGCTGGTTATTCAAAGCAATTACATGAAAATGAAATGTGGTTTTCTAATATTAAGGTATTACTTATTGTTATTAATTAATTGAGTTTGCTTTTGTAAATATAATTTATTTAGTATATGCAAATAAGTTATATTAACATATAGATTTGTTTTTAAATTTTAACAAAAAAGTTTTTATTTAAATTTAAAAATTAGTCTATATGTAAATATAATTTAAAAGCAGTTTTCTGTCGAAAATCTTTTTCAAAAAATAATTTTTCATGTTGCTGAATAGCTTATAATTTTCTTAAATTTAATCTGAAAAATAAATTTGTAAATCATTTCTAGTAACTAATATCCATGTAGTAAAAATTATATCCTGTTTATGTTGACACCGACAAAGGTTTATTTAAATAATTGTCACATAAGAGAGAAGTCTTTTAAGGATCTTTTTAAAAATGGAAAATATGATAACAACCACTATTATTATTGAGTAAATTACTTTGAAAAAAAAACTTTGTATTTTTGATGTTGAAAAATTTACTTGGCGAAAATAAAATAAAATTGTGGATATAACTACTTTCCATATTATTAGAGTAAAATCTAATTGTGTAAAATTATCTAGTTTATTTTCTGTAAAGTTATTATAATTTTACAGAAAAATTTAAATGAATATTAAAATGTCCTGTTGATCTTTCTCTATTAATAATTAAATAATTAAAAAAGTGTTATAAACGCTCTTCTGCACTGAGTATTATAGAGTCATTCCATGCTAAAGGGACTAAAATTTTAGAATTTCAACATAGACTACCTCAGATTTTGATTAAACTTGGTGGGTTGGGTTATATCAATGAGAAAAACAATTCCTAAAAATTTTAGCAAATCTTTGTGGTTCATGAGATATGGTCATTTAAAATTTTTGATTTTTCTAAAAACATAAACTTCGGTAGTAAAAATGTGTTTTGTTCATTCTTTAAACCTCTATATTTTAAAAACAAAAGTTTTTTAAATATATACAACTTTAGTCATACTTTAATAAAACTTTGGCATTATAGGTAAAATCTCATATTTTATCCTTAATATAATGCAGGCTTTCACAAGAAAGAGAATGCAATCTAAAATATTATTTTTAACCATTTGACCATGGCTTTTGACATTTTTTGTTTCAAAATTTAAAAATGCGCTACAAACCTACCTAAACTTATCTAATAAAAAAACATTGTAAAAAGAAAAAAAAATCTCAACAAAAGAGAAAATAAAAAAAGTACTTAGTTAAAGCAAAAACACAAAAAAATAAATATAAATATTATTTTAAAAATTATTTAGAAGTGTTTTGTTACTTCATTGAAAAGCGTTTTGATAATATAAAAGCATTTAATATCAAACTTATTTAATTGTAACGGCTTTCTAAAACTTTTTTTTTTCAACTAAATTATGTTTTTTTTCTTTTTAAATGTATTAACGTTAATTATTCTTATATTAAAATTTATTAAAGAGACTTTCTTTGTCGTAGAATGTCATCGTTTATAAAAACAAAACTGTTTTTTATTTTTTAATAAAGTTTATTATAGAAATGCACACTTAAACAATTTATATATTATAAATTTAATAAATATATACAAATGTCAATTATATTAAAAAAACAAACCATTATCAGTGAATTGTTATATAAAAACATTTGTTAAGAAGTTTTGATGTAATTATTTTCACTTTTTCAGAATATTTTTCATTTAGCGCGTTTTTAAAATGTTTTTTTAATTAGACTTAATTCTATGATAAAAAAACATTTTTTTATGGCAATGGTAATTCATAAGATAAGTTCATGTGCTAAAAATTAATTAAAAAATAATTTAGACAAAAAAATTATATTATAATTTTTCAAATCAAAAAATCAAATTGATAGATCAGAGTTACCTTAAAAAAATGTTTAAACTTCTGTTATAACTTGTAATACTGTAAAAAATTGTGTAGTTTAAATTTGATTTTTTAATTAAATTATATTGTAATTATATACAGTTTAATTTAAAAAAAAATTGAGCCTATACATTTGCATTTTTACAATTCAACTCACCCCTGGTAAAATTTTAATAAGTTTTTAAAATTTAGGTTTGGATTTTATAAAACTATAAAGAAAACAGAAAAAGTCAAAAAAAACTAAAGGCACGTTTTGTTATGGTCGAAACTGTTTTAGTTTTATTACTGTCAATTTATCCTCAGTCACTTAATACAAGGTGTGGGGGGGGGGGGAATGAATGGTGGGAATTTTATATAGTAATAATTAGGGGGGTTATTGGGGGATGGGGATGTTCATAACTTATTAAAATCTTTTAATGGTGTAAAAATCTTAGACTTTTTTATCTTAGTTTTGCATTTTATAAAAAATATTTTTTTTATAAAATGCAGACATTTTCACATAGAATTGCCCATGTTTATATAGATAAGTTGCAAATGTTTACATTCTGTATATGTTGGCAGAAAAAAACAAATAGTCAGAAATTTTTACACAAAAACCATAAAATGTTTGTAACATATTACAACTAAAAAACTTTGTAGCTTCAATTTATGTCTAACAATTGTTTTATAATTTTATAATTTTGTCTATTATGTTGCAAATTTATTTCTCTACAAAATACCAGTCTTTTTTTTCAGAACCTAATTAAACATGTTTAAAAGATTGAAAAACTAAGAGCTACTCCATAAACAAGTGTAAGCTTTTCTGGACATGCATTCAGAAGAGAACAAAATGGTTGTTGTTAATCATTTTTGCATTGAAAATGTTCCAAAATCAACCATGTAAGATATACTGCAATAAATGGTGATCAATATAAGAAAAGTTGGAAGTAACTTAAAAAAAGTCTATGAAACAGATTAAACGCCTAAAAAAATTGATGGTGTTTTACAGCGTAGTTCAGCTAACAGATTCAATGTTTCGCAGCAGTATATATCCAAAATTGACAATGAAAAGACGAGCATTCGATATCATAAAAAATTAAAGTGCCAAAAACAACATTGACATAGAAAGCTGCTGTGTATCCTAAGTGCCGAAAATTAGTTGCACTTTTCCAGAAAAAATTTGTTATGTACTTTTCCAAATGTCTGGTTAAATTAAAGAAGTTTATCTACAATGTTTATAAAAAAGACAAAATTGTGTTCTGGCCTGATAGCCTCCACACACTATTACAAACAAAGTACAAGGTTACCTAAAAGGTGAAAATATTTAATATGTACTGAGAGACATAAACCCTGCTAATGTGCCCGAATTGCACCCGATCGAAGATTTTTGGAGTGAAATTAAAAGATTGGTGTATGCAGACAATTGGCAAGCTAAAAATTTCTGCCAACTAAGAAATCTAATAGAGTATTGTATGAAAAAAATCAATAAAAATCGCGTACATAATCTTGGGGCAAGTACCTTTACAAGATTTGACCGTGTTTGGCGAAATGGACTGATAAACAAATAATTTTATTTTTATTTTATAAAATACACATTTTTTGTTAATTTGCTTTTTAAATTAAAAAAATTGATAACTCCGTTAAAGAGATATTCATTTTCAAAGTCCGGATTTGTAGTTATAACATGTTATTTTTTGTTAGGAAATTTATTCATTTTTAGACTTTTTAAAAAGAGTTATTTCAACCAGTTATTGTATCATTAGTTACTCAAAAAAATGTGGGTTTAAAATTTATAAAGTTTCTTTTGAAAAATCAAATTTTAAAAAAAGAAGTCTTAGAGACTGGATTAAAGCTAATCCGTAACGTAAAGAATGGATTAAAGCAATCTATAACATTTCATAACATTAAAGTTGTTTCAATTTCTAATTGGATCCAAAAAAGCAAAGAGAAAAGTATGCTAAAGCAAAGAGAAAAGTATGGTAAAGTATATAAACAAGGATCCTTATTAATATTATTATCTACAATATAGAGCTTGATAACTATACTAAATAAATTATGACACCAAACCGGGCAGCTTGCTGAACATTTGCCGTAAACGTTATAGAATATAATCAAACGGCCACAAATAATGAGCTCAATTTAGACAGCCAACTGTTTTATCTACAAAATAGTAATAATTTAAACAATTATTAAATACTATGTTTTATTTATTTGTTTTCGTTATGAATTTTTTTGTTGATGATTTGCACAATTTCGTGCAAGTTGACCAAGTATAATTTAATTTCGTGCATTTTTTTTTATAAGTTCAATTTAGTAGATTTATTCAAGTTGCAATACTTAATTCATATATAGTTTTTTGCAAATATTTTGCTAGTGATTAAATGTCTGACTTAGAGTTGAATTATTTGTTGGAAGATAATATGGGGCCTGCTGCTTTTTATTTGACCTAGTGATCAAGTCTGTTTATAGGCTCGATCACTCGGCTTAATAATAAATGTTTTTACAGGTCCTAAAAGTTAAAAGGCCCTTTTGACTTTTAGGACCTGTAAAAACAAGTGGTGATATTAAAAAACTTTATAGTGATATATAAGTTACACCAAAAACCTTTTGGGTGAGCCCCAAACATTATTTGTTGAATATCATTCTGAAATGGCAATATATCTTTCGTTAATGCTTAAAAGAAAACTAAAAAATACTTAGAAATTTTTATAAACCAATAAAATAAAAAACAATTAAGAATTGAACTTAGTCAGATAGATTTACATGGTCTAAATTGAAGAACATAGTCAGATGGATTTACATGGTCTAAATTGTAATGAGGCTGTGCTCCTAGAAATATAACTTGATGTTTTTGGTAGTTTCCATCTCCCGATACATAGCCAAGAACTGTTATTTGTGTTTTTGTGCTATGCGATAAATATTCTTTATACCCTTTGAGGCAATTATTTTCAGCCTTCCCATTGTCCCTGCTAATGGAAACTCTGCTTTGTCTAAATTAAACACTCTTCTAGAGTTTTCTGGTAATAAGAACTCTGAAGCGTTTATTTGGTGTTCTTCAAACAAATAGTTTTCCAGGTCAGCAAACCATTGCCTGATTTTAGCATGAGAAACTGCTGGTGGCCCAAATTTTCAGGCATTCTTCTTGCAAAATCTGAATGCTTTTTGAAAAACCTACCAAATATAAAGTAAAAAAAAACAGGTTTATCAAATTAAACACAGATTAAGCAGATACAAAATTTTGTGTCATTTCTTTATTATATATTCAAAAAACTTAATAGAGTAGCAATTATTTACCTGTAGATCCAAAACATGCTTGGCAGATTATTCACAAACTTACTATGAGTTATCATATTGTTTTTTTCTTTATCGTTAAGTCAATGCTTTGTTATATGTTGCTTTTTTTAATGTCTAAATAGTTTTTTACTATGCTTGGTACATCGTTTTGGCAAATACCATATCCTATTTTTGCTGCTTTAATCAAAAAGTCTTTTACTCTTTCTTTGTCCTCTTTTTCTAAAGCTGGTTTGCGACCTTTAAGAAAAAAAAAGTGATACCTTCTGAAAAAATCTTATGCAATTTTGTTGCTTATGGAGAATTACATCTAGCACAGTAAGTTAATAAATGTTTTAAACAACTCTAAGTTATCTTTTGCAAGGCAGAACCGTATCTGTCATTTATTCTATCACCGATTGTCTGAGAAGGTACATTATATTTTAAACTTGCCTTTTTTGATGAAAAATAATTGTCTCGAACATCAGCAACAGCTGCCATAACAGCTTCCTCATTATATTTTTTGGTACTTTTGTCTTTTCTTAGAGTCCATAGTCAAGATAACAAACTTGATTAAAAGGGTAAGTTGGCAATGATGATAAATCATTGCCAACTTACCCTATATATATATATATATATATATATATATATATATATATATATATATATATATATATATATATATATATATATATATATAAAATATATATATATATATATATATATATATATATATATATATATATATATATGTATGTATGTATGTATATATATACATATATATATATATACACATATTGTATATTTTATTATATATATATTTTTTGTATATATATATATATATATATATATATATATATACAAAAAATTATACCCCTTTGCTTGTCGCCTTTATCTATTGTGTATTAGATAAAGGCGACAAGCAAAGGGGTATGGCTCTTGACATATCTAAGACTTTTGAAAAAGTCTGGCATGCTGGTCTTCTCTATAAGGTTGCTTTATATAGTGTATCTGGAAAAGTTTTTGAGATAATTAAATTATTTTTTAAAATTAATTATATTAAATTATAAAAGGTCAACACTTTACTTTTCCAGTAATTTTAATTGAAATAACATATTTTTTTATTAGATAAAATCTTTTTAAAATATATTTTTTGTATTATAGAAAGAAAAAAAAATCAAAAAAAATATAATAGTGTCTTGGTTCCCAGTTCTTTGTTCATAGGGTTTTCGATCATGGATTTGATGGATCTGTTAGGGTCTAATTTCAAGATTAAAGTCATGTTGAAGCTGACTGGAACTTGATTCTCCTTTCAAAGCTTGTTTAATAAGCAATCGTTTCGTGTTTGGAGTCAAAACCCATCGCTTTCCTGTTGACTTCTTTGCCCCATAGCCCTCCGGATCCTTCAAAGTATTGGAATGAACCTATCTTGATCACTTTATTTCATTGCAAATCTTGGCATGCTCCAAAATGCCTCATTGAATGAGTTGATTTGTTAAAACTGTTACCTTTTCGATTGTAATTTAAATTGAAAACTTGCCTAAAGGTAGTAATAGTTATTGTGTAATTAGTAAAATATAAATTTATAACAAACATCAGAGGATACTAGCAATCAACACACTGAGATCTAAATATGAACAGCTGAATTTAAATTAGTCTCATAAAGCAATTAAGTTTGGTGAAATTTGCTTGTGTGTTGAAGATTATTATGAAAACCACAAATACTTGTAATGTATTTATTGAGATAATTTTATGGTAAAAATAGTTTTTAATATTTTTAGGAGTTATAATCATCAATGATAAATTTAAATTTTTTACTTACTCTTAAAGTCCTTATCTATAAAAACTTTTACAAGACAACAGCAGGATGCTGTTTACTAATATAAAAAAATGAGTATTTATATTAAGTGTTTTGTGTCAATACAAATTCTCCCAAGAACTACACAAAACACCACAAACTATATCATGATCAATAGTTATATGATTTCTTTAAAAGTTATAAAGACTAGAAATACATTATTCAACAATTTTTTTCAAACATTTTATATTTTTTGATAAAGAAAATATTTATACTAATAAAGTTGTAATTTATAAATATTTTTAAATACTTAAAAGCTAGGTGAATTTTGATGTATTGGTTTGTCAGGGGATATTCTAGACTGTTTTCTACAATGTCAACCATATTTGGGTGCCGCCCAAATTAAAAATTAAGGACCTTTTTTTTTTTATGTTTTTACTGAAATAACCCTTATTTTTTAGCAATATTTCCACTAAATTTTTTCTGGGGGGGGAGGGTCGCCACCCAAATTATTTCTTAGAATAGCCCCTGTTTGTATATATATATAAAAAAGGTTATAAGTAATCCATAAAAAAATCCATAATGCAAACTTTTTTGTGAATGTTTATCATAATGATTATAAATTTATTCGTTTTATTCAATATATATATTTTTGTTCTCTTTTTTTTCAGCAAGTGGAAAGAGAAATATCATTTAGAACTGAATCAGGACTTTATTTTTCCTACTATAAGCAATTAGTTCTTGCTCCAACACTTTTAAAAGGTAAACATAAAGTAAAAATTTTTGACTTTTCTATTTTAAACTTTATGTTAGAAATATCCTGTTTTCATGAACAAAAAATAAATATGTAGTTTTCACTTTTTTGAATCACAGTTACATTATTTAAGAAGAAATTGGTTAAGTTGTTGAACATTCATCAAAATTCTATACAAGAAACTTTGTTTACAAAGGAAATACTGTTATATATTTTTTCATATGATTATGTATTAAATAAAGTTTTTTTCAGGGATCCACTCATTAATTAATGATAATTTAACTGAACATTTGTTGACAATCAATATCCTTGAGAGGTTTAATATTTATCAAGAAGTTTTACTTGCTGCAATATATAGGATTCTGCCATCAAGTATACAGGTTTATAATTTTCTCTCTATTAAGTATACCAAGTGTTATGAATGCTATTATTATGTACACTATACTGTTTATACTATACTGATATAAATATTGGTACATTGATGTGCTTATATTTATGTAACATATGTAATTGTTATAAAAGCATTTTACAAAATGGTTTCTTTTAGTATTAAGTATCAGTTTAAACTTTTTAAATATTTTTTTTAAATTATTTTATTTAAAAAAAATCAAAATTAAATTACTTGGATGAGATCAAACTTACTTTTTTAATGGAATTTAATGGAAATCTGTGCGTGCGAAGTAATTTAAATGTTAGTTATTTGCGTTTCTTTATAAAAATGCCTTGATTTTTTTTTAAATTATTGTTTTAAAAGGAATACAAATTTGTTAATTTTCCAGCATTGTTCGATATTTTTGTGTATATACAGTCATGAAGAACTATTACTAAGATAAAAATTAAAGCAAAGAAAAAATATTTAAATTTTGACTATCAAAAAAAAACAATTGACATGTGTTAGCCAGTTGCCTTTCTTATTTTCCGCGCTGATTATATACTAATTATATATATATATATATATATATATATATATATATATATATATATATATATATATATATATAATTCACCTATTTCCTGACCATAAGTAACAGTTAAAAAAATGCTTTTTTTTAAAAGTAAGCGTTAATAAAGATTCATGAAGTTTTTTAATATTATTTGTATATCTATTGTATTTTTTCTTGATGCATTTTTATTTCAATTAAAATTTGGAATATAATATTTTATTCAGTTTTTTAACTTTATAATACCTGGATTAAATGGTGTTTTAACATACAAAAATTTATAGATATAAATTATAAGTAAGCTAGTGTAATTTACTACTTTTGTAGTCATATATTTATTTTGTTGTTTTGTTTTTTGGTAAATAAGCTCAAGTTAATTCTCCTTCAATAATCACAGTGTTTACAATTTTCTGTATTTTCTATTGCAATTCGCAATCACTTAAATCAACCCTTGTTTAATGGCATAAGTTTTTTATATTTATGTACAAGATAACTTTAAGTACGCTTATCTTCAAGAGAAGTTCAAGGCCACTCTTACACCAGTGAAAATAAGTGCAGGTATGTTCACTGGACCTCAAATTTGTGAAGTCATTCATGATCCCAACTTCAATACACAGCTGCAGTCTGCTCAGTAGGCATCCTGGGATGCAGAATGTCCTTAAAAATTCTTTTTTTGCACTCCCATCTCAGTTTCTTCCCACCCAATCTAGGTGCAGTCAGCGATGTACAGCGTGACCTTTTTTTTACCAAGAAATACCAACGATGGAAAACAAATATCAAGAGAGGTATGACAGCAACATAATGGGCGATTTTTGTTGATTTTTACAGCGAGAGTGTGACAATAATTTCAAAAGAAAAGCAACATCATCTAATTATTTTTGATTTCAAAATGCACTGTATTATAATTGCCTGAAGTTTTTTGTATACTGTATAATTGCTTTTGCTCTTCTGTTTACATAAAAATTTTAGTTATTGTATTGAAATTTAGAAGCATTGACATTATATTTCTAATGACCATAAAGTGTTATAATGGTAAATAAAGATGTCAAATTAACTTTAAAACCTGGCGTGATACAGAATTTTCAATGACATATTTGGAATCAGCAGGTCAAAATGGTCTTAGTACACTTAATAGATCTCAGGTAGCAAAAATTTTGTTCCCTAATATAATTGAGTGTTTTAAAAAATGCACTGAAAAAGCCAAACTAATTTTTAATCACTGATTAAAAATTAGTTTAGTGATTCAGTGAATAAAAAGTGAGACTTGTTTCTTTTTTACGGTTTACTTATAAAAGTGTATTTTTGGTAGGGATCTGTATACATTGTCAGATTTGCACAAAATTTTTTAAGAAAACATATAAAATCAAATATAATATGGGCAGCCATGTGGAGCAATACAATTTAGAAATTTAATTTTTTAGGCCTCACTAATATATATATATATATATATATATATATATATATATATATATATATATATATATATATATATATATATATATATATATATATATATATATATCTGTTTATATATACATATACCTTTATGTATTTTTATAGTATGCAAAACAGACTTCTAGGGTAAAAAAAAAAGTCTCTTACAACAACAATTTTGCAACCTTAATTTTAAAGGTACTTTTGAACCTTTTTTTATTTATTCAACTAATTTATTTTCAAGATTAACTAATTCAATTGGCTTCTAGAAACAACTAATTCAATGGGCTGCAACAAACAAGTAATTAAATTGGCTGCAACAAACAGCTAAATTGACTGCAATAAACAATTACTTAAATTGTGAGTTAACAGGAAACAAACAAGAGTGTTAAAACTACCTTGGTATTACTTGTAGAAATATGAAAGAGATAAGCAATGTTTTGATCATGTGACAGTGGCTCAAGCCTATTAGCTAAAGCATGTCCAAGAACATTTACAATGCAACCTTATATAGCAAGCCTCTTTAGTAAAATCAGCCAGTATGACAATAGTTTTCTATACAAAGATAAATATGAGATTAATAGAGGTAGAGAATAGAATCAGAAGTAAGGAAATAGTAGGCATGATTAAGAGATGCAATTTTAGCAGAACTTGCATGCTTTTAGTTAAGTAATTGTAAATTAAAACATAAACAATACAATACATATAAATCTCAATTTATATGTATTTGTATTGTCTATGTTTCAAAAAGGGTTTACAATGTTTAAAATAAGAAAAGTGTACTTTTGATTAAGAATTTATACATTTTTTAAAGATTTACTGAATCCCTACTAATTTAATCCTTAAATGATAAATTTCCTAAACACTTTTCATTACTTTAAAATAAATAAAAAAAAAATGTTTTAGTTGTGAATCTCTTATATATAACCTATATCTCAGTCATTGATCATTTGAAGAATATTTATAAATTTTAAAAGCATTTAGTAAAAAGACAAAGTTATAAAAATTGTTTTGTATCAATTAATGAATCCTCAGTGTTAATACAAAAATCTTATTCATTTTTAAAATTTTAGAAAAATTGGGAATATGTGTATTTTTATATTGACAATATATTTGGCTTACATGGAGCCATGATGGTGACACTGTTTATTGCAGCGTGGCTTCTAAGTGGTTCTCCTATTGCTGGACTGCTTGCTAATAGTTTTTTTATATTTCACAGGTTTGTGTACAAAGTTAATTTAAATTTTAATAAATATGCAAAAAAATTATTTTATCATCTTTGAAAATTTTTAAATTTAAATGACCTAAATTTTGATCAGAATGTTGAATTTGAGACCAGAATGTTGCCATAAAACCAGAGTGTTACTATGAGACTAGAATGAATTTTTAGTGAAGACTTTATTAATATCATATTTGTATGATTACTCTAATTTGATTAACACTGCAAGTTCTTTGATTTTTTGTGCAGGCCTCACATGACACGTTTGTTTAAAACTATTCCACTACGTGAAAGTTTTTCTTTACCGTTTATATTTATGCAAATAACTTTGCTGACAATCTTCTTTCGAAGAAATGTTAGAGTTTCTTTTGAGGTATGATTCTTTTTTTTATATTTGAATTAAGATTTTTTTTTAATTAAATAAATAAATTTAAATTATTGACATATAATAATAAATTCAAATTATTGTTATAAATTTAAATTATTATATATACAATAAATTTAAATTATTGACATATGCCTTTACCCATATATTTATATTTATTATTAAAAAGTTATCATTACATCAAATTATCATAAGAATAAATTTTATATATATAATTGAAAAAGTTTTTATTAATTGAATAATGATTTTATGTTAAAATATTAAATCTAAAAATAAATTAAATTCAAAATAAAAAAATTATGCTTCAGTACAATCAGTTTATGCAATCAGTTTATTTTTTTGTAAAGTAATTCTCTTAAATTGATGATATTAAAAAAAAATTGTTTTGTGGCATATTTTTAGGCGCAGAGTAGTTAATACTTTTTAAAAGCATTTATACAATACATGTATATATATATATATATATATATATATATATATATATATATATATATATATATATATATATATATATATATATATATATATATATAATGATTTTAAATAATTTGTTTTTTAAAACAAATTATTTGCAATCATTACACATTAAGCTTTAACCACACATTAAAATGAAAACATTGGTACTATTAGAACAATTTAAAATAAAAAAATTATTATTTACATGTTTTTTATAGAAACCTCTTCTCGTACTGATATCATTGACTACGTTTGCTTACACAATCACGTGGCAGTTTTCACAGTTTGTCATGTTGTTACAGTCATTTGCATTATTTGGAGTTTATGCACTTGAATTTGTGGAAACGCGGAAGGTATATTTCTTTTTTTTTTTATATTTAATACTATTTTTATAGAAAAATATTTTTAATTTGATTCATATTTATAAATAGAAGAATAGAAATCTAGAAGTACTATAAATAAAGATATTTCTTCTATGCCAGTATTTTCTAAAGTTAATTCATTACAGCATTATTAACATAGAATGTTTGTAATGCAAGAGTTTCTCATGTTGATCAACCATTCACAGAATGGATAAGATGAAAGATATTGCACTGCCTCCTCTATTTGATTTCTATACCATCAAAGTTTGACTTTAGACATGGGATCAATGTCTATTGGAGATAGGGTTTTTTGGTTCCGGGTACCCGGACTTGGACTCTGCGAGTCCGTGGGTAAATACCCGGATTCGATACCCGGTTTAAGACTCGGCAAGTCTCATGATTTGACTGTTCGCCTTTATTTCGTAAGCAGCGGCACGTCATTACACTGTATCCCTTCCATTTCTAGAAAACCCTACAGTAGTAGGGTTTGTAAACTTGAACACAGCTTTTTAAATAAATTGAGAACATTCAAGTTTATGTATGTTTCTATGTATGCCTGAATACAAACTAACTTCATAACTTGAATTTTTTTCTAATCAAATGCTTTTATATTAGCGATTGTTAATTGTTGTTAACTTTGGATTAGAAAGATTGAAGTTAATAAGTTAATTCTTTTAGCGCATATTTAAAAAACTTTAAAAAAACACTTTTCATTTATTAATTAAATAGTTTCTTTATTTAATTTATTAATTAAATAATTTCTCCATTTTAGGAAAAAAGTGAAATATCATAATTTTAATATGATATTTTATACAGTCCCATTATGTTGAAGAATTCAAAAGTGTGGGACTATTTCACCCAATGTACCAATTTGAAAAGTGGTAAATGCAATAAGTGTTCAACAATAATATCAAACAAAGATAGAAATACTTCATCAATGATTAAACATTTAAAAGTTAAACATGGAAATCCTTTACCAACAGGAAAAGAAATAGGAGAAAATTCTGCCACCAAACGATTTAAAACTATCGACACTTTTGTTTCCCTTGAAAGAAAGGCTTTAGAAAAAATTGTCGCTAAGGTCTAGCTTTATTTGTGAGTTTAGTAAAATAAAATTATAATCTTCTTAAAGCCGATAGAGATGTTCTGAATTTAATTCATAAATTTTATGAAAAAAAGAAGTTGGAAATACTAGAATTGTTACATAAAAAAATTAAAGAAGGTCAATGATTTAAAATTTCACTTGATGAATGGACGAGTCAGGCTTGGTCGGGAAGCGGGAGCAATCGCTCTTGAATTCTGACCACGGAAGTTATATTTAGTTGCGAAAAACTGGTCAGGTTTTTTAGTCGTTTTGAGAACATTTAAATTTATGTACAAAACAAAAAAATTTTGTGTTACGGACATACATGGAAACATAAAAAACTTGAATGTTCTCAAAACATCTTGGTACAGAAGAATAAAAAAAATATTTGCAAACACTAAAAACCCGCCAAATTAACAAACAAACTCATTCCATTGGTTCAAAAAATACACTGATTAAGCGAAATAAAGTTCTAGAGTATTCTGTTGAAATGTTTTAGAAATTGTATAATTCACGATTTGTTATGTTTTGAGATTTTTAGCGTAAATTGTTTTAAGAATATATATTATTTGTTTAGAAAAATAAATGTTTTAAATATATATTATTTGAATTGTCAAAATTTTGAAAGTTTATTATAAATTATAGATATATTTTTTTTTTTTTAATTTTAATTCACCTCCTCAAGGCCGAGAAGGCCACTACAGACGAGGAGGCTACTTTATTTGTGGTTATAACTCTCTCTCAACTCTATAACTCCAAAACACAAACCTTGACGAGCAAGGCCGCTGCGCGGAGAAACGAGTTGAGCGCGGTACTACCAGGGACGTGGTGGGGATTGAACTCGGAACCACTCGTTTATGAAGCGAGCGCTCTACCACTACATCACTACCGCACCGCAGATATTATTAGTAAATTCTTATTTTTATATTTAAAAATTATGTATTCTTTATGTAAATGTAATTTTGTGTATCTGTTTTTTTATTGTAATGTATCTTTTAAAGCAATTTTTATAATTTAAACAAAGACTTACAATATAATTGCGTTTTCAATGAAGTTATAATCATTAAAGTTAATAAAACTAATTATGTAACAAACATATAAGAACTTTCTGGGTACTAAACACAAACAACGCATACAAAGTAGCTCACGGATGGACAAGCACCGCGCCTGAGTTTATTTAATTTCTATAAGTTAATTATATCTAGTTAATTTAATTTCTATAATAATTCAATGATTTAATTATTTCATTTGTTCATCTTACTAAATTCATCTTACTAAGAAGAATAGCCTCAAATATGTTAAACTTTTCAAACTAGGCTAAACATAAAATAGGTATTAAAAAAATTAACTTTTTTATTTATAAAATAATTTAGCTTAAATAAAACTAAAACTTGCAAACTTTTTAAAATAAAGAACATTTGTTTCCTTTTAAAACAATCGTAAGATGTTACTTTATATAAAAAACGTCGGTTAATTCTATAAAAAAGATTATAAAAGAGCGATGTTTCGAAAATATTTGTTCTAAACATAATTTATTTTGCTTGAAGTTTTTTTGCGTTAAAAGATATTTTATTTTCCTAATTTTTTTTTTTTTTTGTAATTGTCTCTTATTGGTCCAATTAATCTTATGCGCATTTTTTTTTTTGCTTTTTGAAATGTTGTCAAAATGACTAAAAAATCTGGCCAGCTTTTCACAACTAAATATTATTTCCGTTGTCAGCAATCGAGAGCGATCGCTCCCGCTTGCTGACCAAGCCTGTGAGTATGAAAATTCGAAAATATCTAAATATCTATTTGCATGGAATTGACTCTGAAGTGTGTAATTTGGGTTTAGTGAGAATTATTAACTTGTGTACAGCTATACTATTAGCTGAAAAAGTAGAACAACATTTAAACACATTTAATATTAATTTTAAAAAACATATAGTTGGTTCAACCGGCGATGGTGCAGATGTAATGAAAAACTTGGAAATGAATCTCCTAGTCTCTATAATTTGTGTTTGAATTACACTTACACTTGGCTGTTTGTGATGTACTATATAAAAAGAAAAAACATTGCTGTCCTGCAAGATGAAGATGATATTGATGGTGATGGTAATGACCATGGTCAAGATGGTATTAATGATGATCAAGATAAAAATTATTATGCTGACTGAGATTTATTTACGTCGAAGAGTATGAACATGTTGAATTAACAAATTTAGGAAATGTAGAAGAAAATATAAAAAGTGTTTGTGTAATTGTTAAATTTTTTTAAAAATCTTCTGTGCCAAATAATATTTATAGTTAAATAGTTTTAAGAAATAAAAAACAATATTAAATTATTACATGAATTGGAAAATACGCTAAAAACTATTAAATTAACTGTTAAAGATCTTAGCAGAGACAAATTAATTTTATGTCTAGAAAAATAAAAGAATCCAATGGTAATTTATATAGTGAGAGCTAGTAATGACAATAAAAACTCAAAAAAATAGCTGTAAAAAACAAGAATTAAAAGAACTATTAGATTCTCTTGTAAATGGTACTAGGCCTTCAAAGAAAATACAAACATTTATTACAGATTTACTGAAAAGATTATTTGATGGCAATGAAGAACAGCAAAAAAAACTTTATGAACAGGAACATTCAACTGAAAATAACAAAAATACAGGAAATGCACAATCACTAGCACTTTCTATTATTTTATGTAGTTCTTTTTTCACACTGAAAGAAGAACTACATAAAATAATAGGGTTTTCCTAAACCCTAGCTGCGACTATTTGAACATTATTAGATGAAGGTTCAAATCCTTATAAAGCAAGCCTTCCCAGGAAAGGCATGCGGTTTTTCATCTTGTATGACCACATGCGAGTATATTATTTTAGACAACTTGAACACAGCTGTTTGCAAGTTTTATAATAATGTCTAAAAAGTTTCAAAAAAAACAAAACTAACAAAATAAAACGAGATTGAAATAGAAAAAAATAAAAACAAATTAATAATTTAAATAATTTAAAAAATTGTTACATTCAGCAACAAAATTAGATAAGGCGAAGCAAAAAAAAAAAACAGTTTGAAGTCTACAATAAAAAGAATGATTTTCCTTTTCTTAATTTTTTTTTTTAAGAGGATAGCAAAAATACAAATTGCAATGTGTTTGTAAAATTTATTTGTATAATTTTAATGTAACAACAAGGATTGAATTAAGCAAATGCGAAACGCAAAATCTGGAAAAATATCTAGTATTCAAAATTTTAATTTATACAAAACCGTGTTCCTTGTTTTTAAGGGGAGAATCAACTTAAATTTGTTAGCGAAAAAATAAAAAATCAAACAATAAACTTACGATTACAAAAGTAATAACACTCTAGTCACTAAATGCATTACAAAAGTAATAACACTATAATAGTGTTATTACTTTTATAATGCACTTATAACTTTTAAAATTCATTCTTTGTTCAAGCAACATAAGTATTCCCAAATTTTAATTAAAAATATCTAGAAGAATAAAGTGGATGTTCAAATAATATTAAAACTTAAATAACTTATAAAAACGTGACAAACAACTTTATAAAAACATATCGTATTAAAAGTTTAGCATTATGAAAAACGTTATTAATGGATCGTAAAAACATGCAATAATTTTAAAATTAACCAATAAAAATTTTTTATTGGTTGATTTTAAAATAAATTTGCGTTTTTTTGTAATGTTTTTCATAAGGCTATACTTTTTATAAAGTACTTTTTCTATTTAAGTTTACTTTAATTTCTTATGTAGTTATTAAATTTAAAACAATTTTTCAGCAACACATATAATAAAACTTGCGCAAATGGCCGTGATCATGTTCTCTAACTTGAAAAACATTTTTGTGGTTGTATGAGACGAAAAACCGCACGCCTTTCCTGGAAAGGCTTGTAACGGATAATATCTTTTTTATGTTTTATTTGCTTATTAAACATTGGAAAATATCAATTATTAAATAACTTTGAAACTTTGATCTTTTCTAAACTCCATAAAGTGAAACACTTTTAAATTAAAATAAAATTATATGCTTTTTTTTTCTGGTTTTTCTTTTATTTACTTTATCATTCGTTAATATTTTTTATTTTTTTTTAGTTTTTATTTTCTTTTTTTCAGTTTATTGTTTGTTTATTGTTAATTTTAGTTTGAGTTTACATTAGTTTATTCAGAGGATTTTCCAAACTTGCTAAGAGTCATGGTCAAGTTGTTACAACAAAGTATTATATGCATATCTTCCCAAGAAAGCTTGTTTGAAATAAATTCATATCAATGTTTTGGAATGGTCAAAGCTTTGATGTAGCAGCACTTCCTTGCATGTTCTACCTATTTGTCAGTTGATGTATGAACTGAAGCCCTTGGCCGCAGGCTATTTCAGTATAATGTCAGACTGCACACCTAAATGCGCAGTTATTAATATAATTTTTATCAGAATAAAGTTTTACAAATAAAGAATGGTTTCAAATCAATGATTTAATTCTTTGATCAAATCTGGTCACAGCAGAAACAATTTTTTGATTTATTTGAGATTAGATCAACAATATTCAATTTTGAGGATTGATTTAGTTGATATACTGCATAAGAAATTTACACAATGTCATAATAGTAACCTAATTGGTCTACTAATCTACTTACTAAATCTTAAAAAGTACAACAAAAGTTTTTAAAAAATGAATATACATTTTTAATGCCAAAGAAAACGGTTATGCATTCAGAAATTAAAAATTGACAAAAGTTGACACAATTGAAGATAATGAAGACAATAAATCTATTGAGGATTCTTAACAACTTAGTTCTATCATCACTGAATGAAGAGTTAGCAAATCAAATTTAGAAAGAAAATAAAAAAATTGGGTAGAAAATGTAAAGAAGATGCCAAGTTTTTACTCTTTTGACCTGAGAAATTGTTAAAGAAGATTATTTCTGCCTTTAAATGTAATGAAGTAAAAAGCAAGTTTCTTATAACATAAAACTAGTTGGTGACAGTATTACCAACAAGAGCTGAAAGCAAGCTCTTTCAGCTACTGGTTATATATGCAATCCTTTAAGAAGTAGGTTGAGAAATAATACTTTGAGTTGTGTCTGTTTATTAAAATCACGTTTCTTTAAATGATTCTCTAACACTTGATATTTAGAACAAAAAGTTATGTTTATGTTTTTTGTATTTTTATTCTATATTTTTGTTCATTAAAAGTTTCAAACTATATTGAATTATAATTGAATTGGTTTATTTTATAAATAAACCAATTCATTTATAATTCAATTTTTGTAATTTTTTTCATTTTACACATTGTTTCATCAATAAAGACTTATCAGAAATTCTGAATGGATTTCTGATAAGTCTTTATTGATAAAACACTGTAAAATGAAAAAAATCTAATAAGTTATTTTCTAATTTTTATTATTTTATGTAGTTCTTCTTTCAGTGTTAATAATTATATATATATATATATATATATATATATATATATATATATATATATATATATATATATATATATATATATATATATATATATATATATATATATATATATATATATATATATATATATATATATATATAATTTATATATAATTATATATATATATAGTTTAAATATAATTTATAATATATATATATATATATATATATATATATATATATATATATATATATATATATATATATATATATATATATATATAAATATAATTTTTTATAAATAATATTTAAGGTAAAATATGTGTTTTGGATATTTCTGGGCAGTCTTTCTACAACATGCTTGCTTATGTTTGGTAATGACATGATCTATTCTTCACTTGTATCCAGTTTTTGTATAGCTTCGTTACTGGTTATGAATGTTCAGGTTATTTTTATTATGTCACCAATAACATTATTTTGACATTTTTCTACTTTTTGATTTTCTTTTTAAAGTTCTTTTTCTTTTTTTTTTTGTTTTAGAATGCAAAGGTCGAAGGCAGTTTTCTCAAAAAGTTGTTTGTCTTACTTCTCCGAATCATTATAACTTTAAGTTTAACTATGATTATCAGCATTATTATTAAGGTAAAAATTAAATCAATTTTTTTTGTTAAATGTTAAAATATTTCTTGTGTGAAATATTTTTTTCACAACAAAAAAATTTTGCTCAATTTTATGCCAATAATTGCTTTTGTGATTAGCTAATTTTTTTCATAACAATTCTGTATAAACTCTTTATAATATGCTGTTTATGAATCCACTACACCTTTATTATGCTGGCACAAGATTCATAGTTTTTGCAAGCCTTAAATTTGAATCTGAATATTAGATTTACTAATAATAACATATAAATATATATATATATATATATATATATATATATATATATATATATATATATATATATATATATATATATATATATATATATATATATATAGGCTTGGTCGGGAAGCGGGAGCGATCGCTCTCGATTGCTGACCACGTAAATAATATTTAGTTGCGAAAAGCTGGCCAGATTTTTTAGCCATTTTGAGAACATTTTAAAAAGCAAAAAAAAAAAAAGCGACAAAGATTGAGCGGACCGATGAAAGACAGTTACAAAAAAAAAAAAAAAAAAAAAAAGGCAAATAAAATATCTTTAAACGCAAAAAAACTTAAAGCTAAATAAATTACATTTAGAACAAATATTTTCGAAACATCGCTCTTTTACAATTTTTTTTATAAAATTAAGTAACAACTTACGATTGTTTAAAAGGGAAACAAATATTCTTTATTTAACTAAGTTTGCAAGTTTTAGTTTTACTTAAGCTTAATTTATTTTATAAATAAAAAAGATAATTTTTTTAATACCTATTTTATGTTTTGCGTAGTTTGAAAAGTTTAACATATATAAAGCGATTCTTCTTAGTAAGATAAACAAATGAAATAATTAAATCATTGAATTACTATAGGAATTAAATTATCATGATAGAAATCAACTAAAAAGGTTAAAAATACTTAATGACCAGGAAGCGAAACTGCTTCACAATATCGCTGATGATGTTTAGTGAGTGGGCTTTTAAATTTTAATTAGTATTTTTTTTTTTTTTTTTTTTTTTTTTTTATTTTAATTCACCTCCTCAAGGCAGAGAAGGCCACTACAGACGAGGAGGCTACTTATTTGTGGCTATAACCCTCTCTCAACTCTATAACTCCAAAACACGAACCTTGACGAACAAGGCCGCTGCGCGGAGAAACGAGTTGAGCGCAGTACTACCAGGGACGTGGTGGGGATCGAACTCGGAACCACTCGTTTATGAAGCGAGCGCTCTACCACTACACCACTACAGCAGTATTTAAAGCAGCAAAAAGTATAACGAGTTTTAAGAATGGCAATTTAAGCGAAAATAATTAGAGATAGTAAACCTATATCTAGAAACTTTTCTTTAAATCTAATTATTTGCTATATATATTTGTGTTCTGTTGTGACCTCACGCGCGATGCTTGTTTATCCGCGACTTATACTTTGTATACACAAACATACGCATACTTTGTATGCGTTGTTTGTGTTTAGTAACCAGAAACTTCTTATATGTTTGTTACATAATTAGTTTTATTAACTTTAACGATTATAACTTCATTGAAAACGCAATTATTTTTGTAAGTCTTTGTTTAAATCATGAAAATTGCTTTAAAAGATACATTACGATAAAAAACAAATACACAAAATTACATTTACATAAAGAATACAATCTCTTTTAAAATAAAAAATAAGAATATACTAGTAAAATCTATGATTTATAATAAACTTTTAAAATTTTGATAACTTAATTAATATATATTTAAAAAATTTATTTTTGTAAACAAATAATAAATATTTTTAAAACAATTTATGCTAGAAATCTCAAAATGTAACAAAATGTGAATAATACAAATTCTAAAACATTTCAACAGAATACTCTAGAACTTTATTTCGCTTAATCAGCGTATTTTTTGAACCAATAGAATTAGTTTGTTCGTTAATTTGGCGGGTTTTTAGTGTTCGCAAATATTCTTTTTATTCTTGCGCTCAAAGATGTTTTGAGAACATTCAAGTTTTTTATGTTTCCATGTATGTCCGTAAAACAAAATTTTTTTATTTCGTACATAAACTTAAATGTTCTCAAAACGACTGAAAAACCTGGCCAGTTTTACGCAACTAAATATAATTTCCGTGGTCAGTATTCGAGAGCGATCGCTCCCGCTTCCCAACCAAGCCTGTATATATATATATATATATATATATATATATATATATATATATATATATATATATATATATACATCAGGGCCTATTCTAGGAATAAAATTTGGGTGGCGGTACACCACCCCCTCCCATTTTGGCAATACCAACCATATTTGGGCGCCGCCCAAATTGAAATTTGAGGACCTTTTTTTTAAAGTTTTTTTTACATTTTTACAGAAAAAAAAGCAAAAAAACCGCTAAACTGCTTTTGATGCTGTCGAAAACAGTCTAGAATAGCCCCTGATATATATATATATATATATATATATATATATATATATATATATATATATATGCATATATATATTAGGGGTATGACTAAAAAATACATGGCATAGCGGCAATGTATGAGTAGCAGCATCAGCATATCGGCAATGGCATAGCAGCAAAATATGAACTTTACTTGTATTAACTTAAAATAATAATACTTTTTTCCAAATCGAAAAAAAACTCCCCTGCCAGTGCAGATTAAAATTTGGTCCCAGCTGTCTAAAAATGCAAAAAATTCAAGTTTTTGCATTTATAATAGGACCAGGGTCACTTAACAAAATTTCAAAAATACCATGAGAGTTATTTTTGTAGCTTGATCTATCTACTTTTAGATTATGTTTTGTTTTTTGGTAAAAATGATATGAAGAGTTGATCTTAACCATTTACAATCATGTGTGTATTTGTGAGGTTGGGCAGGGGAGGGGGGTCTTTTAATTTTTTTTTCATGTACTTTAAGTATAATACATTTTTGTAATCGTACATTTTTTATTTAAAGAAAGACTATTTTATGGTTTTTATTCAAGATTTTTTATCAGTTGTTTTAAATTTTAAACAATGATAAGCTACAACCATTAAGTTTACTTCTCCGTCTACTTTTGTTTCAATGAGATCTTGACTAGAATTAAAAGCATGCTGCATTGTAATGTAGAACAATAAGACCAGTGAAAATTTTTTTTTAATTTTTTTAAATCTTTAAATAAGTATATAAAAAAGCGATATGTACAAATAGCACATAGCGGCAATAAGTTCCAGTTTGATGAACTGGTTTTTAGCCATTCTGTCTTAAGTAATGTCATTTTTAACAAATCAAATAATAATCAGTTTTCAGGTTCAAAAAATCTTTAATTGTTATATAACTTGCAGGCTTTTCTTTTTGAGCTGATTCAAAAGCTAATTTATGTAGTTATTTTACAGATAATTAATAAAAATAGGAACAATATACTTTTAAGTTTTCTAAAAGGCTGGAGATACTGTCTATCTTATTATCTCCATTATTGCAAGTATCTAAAAAATTTATTATCTGCTCAAATTTTTTACTAACCAACCTTTGTTTGTTTCCTAATTGACTCATATAACATTAAATTTTTTTTTTTACCTCAATGCAATATTTTTTGAACATGCAATCCTTTCTGATCATTGAGAAAATTTACATCTTCTTGTCTACTTTTTAAAACTTGTGTTTTATGTTTTAAGATGATGTTTTAATATAAGTTTTTAATTTTCTTTAAATAAATCTTTCTCTTTTAAAACCACATTTTTGCCTTTATGGTTTTGTGTTTGTTTAAATTCTTTCTATTCCTTTTTAAGTCAACATTCTTGTCTCTAAATGGTATATCAAAAGCAAAAGAATCCATTAAAGATAATGTAACTAAAAACATTTATATATTGATATTTTTATCATAAAAACATATTACTATATTATTAAGTCAATTTATATTTGGACTGAATTGTAAATTTATAAGCATTTTACTATAATATAGTAAACATCTGATATGTTAGTCAGTATTTTCTTTACCTAATAATGGGCGCATGGTAAATTTTTTTACCATGAGACAACCTATTTCAATACATTAAGCTGTAAAAAAACAGAGATGAAGCTATTTTAATTGTAATGGTTAAATGACTAACACATAGAATAATCTCTGTAATACAGTTTTCTTTATAAGCAAGTGTTATTGGCTATGTATTATGTGTAATGTCTTATATATAGTTTCAATTCTTTTGGAGAAGCAAACTTAATGGTTGTAGCTTATCATTTTTTAAAATTTGAAACAACTGATAAAAAATCTTGGATAAAAATCATAAAATAGTCTTCCTTTAAATAAAAAATGCACAATTACAAAAATGTTTCATATTTAAAATACTTGGAAAAAAAAATTAAAAAAACCTCCCTCCCCTGCCCAACCTCACAAATATATACATATGTGCAAAAGGTTCAGATCAATTCTTCATATCATTTTTACCAAAAAACAAAATATGAACTAAAAGTTGATAGATCAAACTACAAAAATAAATTTCATTGTATTTTTGAAATTTTGTTAAGTGACCCTGCTCTTACTGTAAATACAAAACACCTGAATTTTTTTCATTTTTGGACATCTTGGACCAAATTTTCATCTGCACTGGTGGGAGAGTTTGGAAAAAAGTATTATTATTTTAAGTTAATACAAGTAAAAGTTAATCTTTTGTCGTTATGCCATTTTCGAAAAAATGATATGTGCTTTGTAGTCATACCCCTATATATATATATATATATATATATATATATATATATATATATATATATATATATATATATATATATATATATATATATATATATATATATATATATATATATATATATATATATATATATATATATATATATATATATATATATATATATATATAAAACTTATATATATAAGTTTTTATCGAAAATGCTTAAATCTTATAGATAATTGTACTCAGTGTTTAACTTTTTCAACAATGCGTTGAATTCAAATTAATTTTTGTGCTAAAAAGCGATACCTTCATTAAGCTAATCAAATTTATGACACATTTG